CTACAGATAAAGCACGTCGAGACTAGACAGGCTTATCGGACGAGTGCAGCGTTGCGCTGAGCGGTGAACTGACACCGGCTTAAACGATACAAAGGCTCAATACAGCAAAATTTAAAAAGAATTTCAAGCACAACAATGTATAGCAGTTTTTTTGTATTATTGAATACCATGATGTTTTTACTACCATGACCATCATTATAAGCAACCCATCTATACGTCCCATTACTGGGCACGGGTCTCCTCTCAGAAGGGAGTTTAGGCCATAGTCCGCCACACTGGCCTAATGCGTATTGGGGACTTCACACGAGTTCGTTGAACCTTCTTCGACGTGCAGGTTTCACCGCGCTGTTTTCCTTCACCGAAAAGCTCATGGTAAATATCAAATTAAACTTCGCACATAAATTCCGAGCAACTCAAAGGTGCGAACCCACAGCCTCTACTTCAGAGGCGGTAGGTCAAACCAGTAGACAGACATGGTTTCAACTTTACTACAATGATAGACATATTTTTTTGTGTGAAAATACTCCACTGGTTTGGTGTTATATTGAAACCTCATCGAACAATCGCAAAGAAAAATTCCTTCGATCCGGCTGATTTGAACCAGCGCCTGTTTGCCAGACCTGGGCTAACTGCTCTTCCAAGTGAGCTAGGGAACAAATCAGCAGACCTCACGAATTTCTCTATTTACCGTAACGCCATCTGTGAGAAATCTATGAAAGTTTTTTCTTCACTCAGCCAGGTACTAGTTAGCCCCGGTCTGGCAAATAAGCACTGATTCGAATTCAACCGGATCGAAGGACTTTTCTTTACTTTTGTTCGATGCTTGTTTCAATAATAACAACAATGAAAGTTTCGTTGAAATTATGTACCAAAACGGGGTTAAACAAATCCAACATGTTCGAAATTGTACAAAAGTGAAAAGCAACAACGGATCTAATGATATAAAGATTTTTCTTATTGGCCTAAGCCTACCCAATAAGCATCAACTTACAGTCATCGCAACGTTTTGAAGACACAAAGGAAATATGTTCTAAGAAACATTTATTTTCACTTATTTTTTTATTCTTTATTTATTTAGGGGTTTTGATCATTAGTGAGCATGTCAGCCCCATTAGAACAACAATACCTCAAGAAAAGACTTATAAAATCCAGACAGATAAATCAAAATACTACCTAATGAAACATCTATACAAAATCTTCGCGGCACTACATGTTGGCTCCGGTAAAACAGATCGAAACCACCCAATATTAAATGTAGCCTGTCCAAATAACCGCGCCCTGATAGGTTCCGTCCGAACACACTCCATGAACAAATGATGTACATCCGCAGGAATCCCACATACTTCACAATTCGGGGAGTTCACCCTCCGCATCAAATACAAAAAATTGTTTAAGCGAACGTATCCGGATCGAAGCCTATGCGCTCTGACAATTTGACCCCCGCTTTACTTAACACGGTCAAACCAAGGAATACGAGTAGGCTCACTCTGCATGGTCTTTCCATGGACATTCCTTTTGCCTAATACCTCATAACGAAATATTCCTTCCAACGAGAATGAAACTTGCTCTTTTAATTTGCAACCATTTCAGAGAAGGCAGGCACAATGTCAACCTCAGGCACCTCTGAAGCAGCCGCAATGACTAACCGGCCCACTTCCTCATTATATTATTTTTATATTAATAAATAGAAGATATCCATAATAATAACCTTAGAGCTAAGCCCAAACGCATGGTACCACGATTTCGTTTAACCAAGATAAACGACTCTTTTATGGGGAACTGTACATGAGGCGCACTATAAGTTTCTGGAATTAATTAGAAAAAAATACTACTAACGGTCAGAAATGAATTTATTGTTTCTCCAAATATTCTCCGTTAGCGTTAATGCACTTTTTCATACGAATGTACCAATTTTGAAAACATTTATGCCACTCCTCCGTGACAATCTCTGAAACATATTTTTCATACTCTTCGACAGCCTCTTCAGGTGATTAAAATCGTTGACCGCGTACCTGGTTCTTAATTTTTGGAAATAAATAAAAGGCACAAGGTGCCATGTCGGGACTGTACGCGGGATGGCTCATAATGTCAACGTTGTTCCAAAACCACAAAAAATCATTTGTCTGTCTGACCGTGTGAAAACTGGCATTATCGTGGTAAAACATGACACGGCGTTTACGGTTATTTTGACGGAGTTTGTCAATAACTTCCGGCAAACAAATGGCCGTGCACAGCATCTATGTTTTTGTTGTTCACAGCAGTGAACGGGCGATCATCACGGAATCGTCACTGAGATTCACACCACCTCGTTTGAATTCTACAAACCAGCTATAAATAGTCGTCTTGCATCGTGCTTCATCGCCAAAAGCAGTTTGAAGCCGAGCGAAGCTCCGCTGAGCTGTTAAATTACACTTAAAGTTGTACAAAATCATACTACGAAAATGTTCACGAGTTAAATCCATGGTGATGTAGATGTACAACCAATTTCTAAAATGACGCCACAATGTAAAAACAAGTGACAGTCAGATGAAACAAACTGTATTCTACAGCCAAAAAGTTCCATTTTCAAATGTTGTACTTAATTACTTTTTAAATATTGTTTATGTAAGTGGCCAGCACCGGAAAGTTATAGTGCGCCCTATGTATACGGTTTTACAATACGATTCCGGAGCATTAAGATTATCATTTCCTAAAGTTTAAAAACTACATTTTGATTGAAAAGTCATATTACAAAATTTAAGACTACGTGTTAGATAAAGATGTGTGGAAAGCCGACATGGCTCCAGATTCCACACAAATTTGATTCAAAGTGTATTCCATAGCATTTAACTTTATTTGAAAATAGCAATCCCTAGAGTTTCTTGCTCGTTCTTCACAGGGAAATCAGCGTAGTGAACGACCATTAGCTTAAATGCGACGTTTTCAATTGTAAATTTTTTTTACACAATATTTTACACATAATAGTTTCATTGTTAGAGTTACTGGTGAGTCAACAGTGACCATGGGACCTGTAAAGGGCCCGGAACGTCGGTTTGTTTGAAAAATCAAATATACGCGATTTAAATCCGGAAAAATAGTTTCATTTTCTATGTGTAACAATCACGAAAACCTAAGAACTCGATATTCCCTAAAAAGCCAATATCTGACGGCACTTACTGCAACCTCAAGCATCTCCCACTAGTCATAAAAGAATATAATTTATGTTAAGAAGGATTGTATTTTTTTGAAAAATAGTGATAAACGACATTAATACGAGGAATTAAAAAATCCGGTCGTTTCGACAGTCGTCCTCACATTGTCACAAATTTTATACGCTTCCATAATAAGATTCCGGTTGATATTCAATATTTGCCATTTACGAGCCGATACGTCAGACGCACCCTAGGCATCGATGGGAGAGTACCTTACGCTGATTGGCAAATCAGAAGCAGCAGAAACATAAGAAGCAGAACCTATGAAATAAAGATTTCAGTTTGAGTTTCAATACGCTTCCAAAACAGAGTCTTATTAACATAATGCCATAGGATACGAACTTGCCCGAGTGCAAAAGGAAAATTGGTCTAACTATGTACCTGTTTTATTATGCACATTGATCATGCCCAAAATCAAGACCACATCAAGTTTAAATTCAACTCTATGAAGCTGACGACAAAAATGTGCAAAATGTCAAGCTTGATTTGCTCTAGACTGTACTAGACATCTCAAGCAATATCTTTATATTTTGCGTTGTATGCTCAAAACTACAAGGCTATAAAGGCTACAAGAGCACCTTCAAATTATCTGTACAATAATTCCCATCTCAATCTCAAACAAGCAAAACCTGGAAATATTTTACCGGAACCTCGCAAATTCTAATACTGGATTGAGCCTTAGAACTGGGAGAAGCTTATCGTGTAGCTAAAGTTCACTGTACACTAGCTACCTAAAACCACATAATAGAGCTTTTGTATGTGTACATACCGCATGGCCCAGTTTAGAACCTGAGAATCACAGGTCAAAAAGTTTCTATTCATTATTGTAATGGATTAGATTGGATTATTCCAGTGGACGTCTACCTATTAAAGGAATCGAATTGGAATGTTTCTGAACACTATCATCACCTAACGACCACACACTGAGGTACAGATACATACCAAAGGTTATTATAAAACAGTAACACAGTAAATTAATAAAATATTTTCTTTGTGATTTCAAGTGACGATATGAACAAGTCAGGCTCCTGGCTGTGAGCGACACGTCTACCCATAACGGTTAACACTGAGCTATAAATCACAAAGATCTATGGAACACTACCACTATACACGTCGAGAACTGACGCTTGACAGCAGTAATATGAACATTACCGCGTTCGGATTTTGAAGGGGAAGGGTGCTGATGAGACACAGATATTATGAAACTTGTTAGCTGTATGTCTAATAGGAATAGAGCTCCTTGTGAAAGAGTTCAGACAGGGAAGTACTGCCACCTTACCTATTTCTACCGCCAAGCACTAATGTCAGCATTACTGCGTTCCAGTTTTTAACAGTAAGGGTGCTGGTGAAATTACAGGCACATGGGACTTTTACTTACGTCTCAAGGCGACGGGCGCAGTGGTAGTGCCCCTCAGGTCTTTGTGATTTGAAGCTCAGTGGCACTGCAACTGTTATGGACAGGTGTGTTAGTTACCACCAGGGTCACAGCTTGTACGTCCCATCACTTGGTACCATATTAAAAAAAAAATGTCTCAGGGTGACGGCTCTGAGTGGCACTGGAACTGTTAAGGGTAGGCGTGTCTCTTACGAACACGCGAACGACTTGTCGACGGGACGACCCGTCATCTGATATCATAAAAAAACGAAGAAATAATCAGCTTATAACTTGACAGCAAAAGTAAGTATAGTGGCAGTACGTCTCTGGACGAACTTTTTCACAAGAAACTCTACGGCTACTAAAAAGTAAACTTTGCGCTAAATAAATAAAATGTCCTTTCACTTTACTAAGTTAAAGAGTTTTTATTCGATCTTTTATTATTACAACTGAAATGGTTTTCGCCACCTAACTTTTTGCAATGCAATCTTTGAGTGGGCGTTGCAAACACGATTTATTCAAATACTGCAAAAAATCTGACAAAATCCATCGACATCCATCGAGCACGTTTCAGTTTGGGAAACCCTAACGAGACACGCTTACAAACGAAATCTCTTATCGGCACACCAAATATTTTTTCTGCTGCTCTTATTGCTTTGAATTTGGGTCACAAGGCTAGGCCACGGGAATATGTACAAATTTAATTCTACCCAACAAAATTGAATAGAAAATATTTTGTTTCTAAAACTATGAAACATCACCATATGATTAATTAGGTAGGTACGCAAATAAGTAGATTGAATAAATTTGTTCACCTTTTAATTTTGACAGTTAAAAATTAAAACAAACACAATTTTGAAAAACAAAAACTTTAAATATCAAAAATGTCGAATTTTAGAAGAATATGCTTGTAACTTCAGTGGTATTTGTAGTTCCTATGATGAATGGTCCTATCATAGTTAATGAAGTAGAAAAAAATCATGGAGGTGATAAGAGCCTGATACAATGGTGTTGCACCGACCTTCCTTGGTTGACAATACTTATGTTGCCATCGCCAGAAAGCACGACTAATCGCTCCCATGAAAGCAGATGGAGTTTTCTGCCTGCGCGCTATCCATGCTGGCAGCTCGGATATTTTCACATCGCCGAATGGAGTATCTGCTTTGCCATAATATTTCGCAGGATCATAATACCCATCTTTCTTCGGGTCATACTCATTAGGATAATCGCCAAAGGCCATCGTTGAGTATTATCAACGATTTTATATATAAAATATTTTCCGTATTTTTTAAAGTTCAGTGACGTGAAGTGACAAGAAAAAAATTTGATAAATATAAACTTAAACACTCAATACAACGGAGTATATAATACGTTCCATAGACAAGAAACATATTATGTAATTTTCCTATGCCACGTTAGCAACCTATTTAGTACTATTGTTTAAAAAACCTATTACAGAAAGAAAGGAGGATGGATGCATAGTAATAATAATGTGCCAGATAGATCACACTTATTGCCTGTTACGATATCGTAGCGATTTAGTCGTGGAGCTTTTTCGTATTCACGTGCGACAGTCGAATGTCAACGAGTTTAATTTTAAAGTCGTTCGATCCAAATGTTGTTGAAGCGTATTCTGGTATATGAATCGAACTTAAATCGATTTTAAAAGACAAGTCATACGTATTCTGCTCAAATTTTGACAGTTCTTTCAATAGATTTTCCACGACTAAACGTCACATTTTACAATCCAAGATGTCGTTCATAAGTTGTTACGTTTCGATTCTATTAATATCAACGTTCGTTCAAGTGATACGTGAATACCAATTTCGGACAAGTCTTCGATCGAACGACTACGTAACTTCAACGATATTTTTACAGCTGGAACTTACGTGAATCGCACTACTGATCTTTAATTAGGGAATTTTCTGTACCATGAGTACCAGAGAAACGAAATTTAGTCTGCGGCACTGCCCAGAATACCCAGTCCAGACCCAATTTAGAAAAGTTAAATTCCCAAATTGGTCCTACCGTGAATCGAACGCGGGACCTCCTCATCACATCACCATCGTGCAAGCCGTTGGGCCGCCGAGGTCGTCTAATGCATGTGTTTGGGATGAAACAATACCCAAAAAAGCGGCTTACTAAGCCTACCTAAACGAATGAATAGTCAACATCACATTTGTAGGTAGGTCAGTGACATCACACTATAATATAATATCAGAAGTTCTCCATGTAACTCGCAAAAATACCACGATTTCCTCCATTTACGTGCATGCTCTGCCGAAATATAGTGCGTCCACATCACGCAACATAAAGCCTTGATGGAAACAGACTACCCTCTCCATACACAAATTTATTCTATGACCCGGCTGACATATGCCCCTAGCACTTTACCCAAACTCTATTGCATATTATGTGGATGCCTTGCGTGGATGTGAATTCTAGGTATTTATATTAACCTGGTACTTTTTGCAAGATTTCCTTACTGAGCTATGGATATTTAGGTACGTTTGTGAAAACGTAAAGATAGTAAGTAAATACGTACCATTTGGCAAGTTTTAACTTTAGCCTCGCATCACCTTAGATCAACCGCTACATCAGAGAATTGGAAGTAGCACTGATAGAAAATACCTACATGGATTTAATTGACACGGACAACCTTCGTGTTCTGTTTCCCGTTTGCACACCTTCATTAGTCGAACATGCAGTCGTGCACGCGCTCATTACTGCTCAGTTGCGCTCAGCTTGCACACACGATTGTGCATTTCTACGCCTCTTGTATTTACACACAAAAGTGATCTTACTTACAATATGCGTAAATTTGCGTAAAATGATAAGTCATTTAATAAGTTTTTTAACTTTCCAGTGGTCCATCCTTTCCGAGGTTCACCCTTGCGCCGAACATAAGCAGTCGCGTGCGGTCTGTGAGACCGCAACTTTACGCGTTCAGTTTGAGAAGACAAATTAATATTTTCAAGACGTTGTGTAGCACATGATAAAAAAGTCTTTTATTTATAAATGAAAATAAAAAGAGATTATTTACTAATTATTTTATTAAATTTGTACTTATTAGTTGAACTGTCTATAAAATAATCTCAGTACAGAGTACTAAACAAAACCGACCTCAAAAGTACGTGGAATTACGTCTATTTGCTAAGTTTCATTGAATATCCCCTAGTTCGCCACTATACAGGACTTGATACTGGAGATAATAAAAATAGGTTCTCACTACGACACTACTCAAAGTATATCGAGAGATAAACGCCTTTGAATTGGAGAAATAGCAAAATCAACTAAATAATTGCTGAAAGTAATTGCTCCTAAATTAAAGTTAGGCGCTATTTATAAAAATGAATCTTCATGCGTGAACAGCCACCCTTTGAGGTGGATGATTTATTTCAAAATGAAATGAGACTACTATGGAAATACCCCCTTTCCAACAAAAAAAGAATCATGAAAATCGGTTCACAAATACCGGAGTTATCGCGTAACATACATACAAAAAAAAAGAGAACATACAGTCGAATTGAGAACCTCCTCCTTTTTGAAGTCGGTTAAAAAGGCAAAATTTTAGTCATATGACACAAACAACGTTAAAAATCAACAAAATAACAAAACAAGATGAAATTTTCTATCTTAATTGTTCATAAGCACACTATAATAGATTATTATTGAGATCATTCAATATTGTCATCAATTGCACAATATTGTGGGAACTCTAAAATCACAATTCTTTTTTAACGTTTTTTTCATGACGTTACGTTCTACGTGTAGTACGTATTTTCTATTACTCAATTCTTATAGAAAAGAAAAGGAAAACAAAAAAAAAAACTTTTTTAGGAGCAGGTAGTACGATAACCTACTCATTATCAGTAGCAATGGTTTGTCGTCATCAAAATCTTCATCTTCTGTTGTGTGTGTGTATGTCTACAACCAATAGTGAAATAATAAATAATTTAATTATTATAATTAAATTATTATTAATTAATTTATATAATATATT